CATTGCTCTGCCCCCCACCCCCAAGTAAGATTAGGATAATGATTCCAGTCCCCTTTTGTCATGTGTTTTTAAGCCTACTGACAGAACGTGTCCTGTAAGAGTTAGGTTTTTCAAATTATGTGATTGCACTTAAAATACTCGAAGTGTGTCTTGCCCAGAGCCAGAGCGGAGTCCCAAGCTTATGAAATACTTTGCAACTGACTGGGACAAAGACAGCCTTAGTATATTATATTGGTAGTGATTATGAATAGACTGAGAAAATAAACACATTATCCCTAACAAGAAGCTGTAATGCTTAACTGTCAATATTTCTACAAATTATTTCAGAACAAGCAAAAGACAGTTAGTGGGATGTGAGGCACCTGAGGTTTGTTCCACACTCTCAGAAGAAAAAATTACAGTACACGTTGGAGATTTTAAAAACAAAAATACTTAGTCAGAAATATATTTCCACTGTCTGTGATCACACCTGCAAAGGAAAGGAATAAATAGCAAGCTGAAAATACATTCAGAAGTAGGGGAAAGTTCAGTGGTCACATTTAGAGAAACGCTAAACCATTTGGTCTTGCAATAGCCAGTAGAGAAAGAAAGGGGAAGCTTAGCTCTACAAAAAGACATAGACATTATTATTTGTTATATATGTATGTATGTATGTATGTATGTATATGTGTGTGTATGCATACACACACACACAAACTGTCTAACAAACTAAGTACTCCAGCTTAACTTTTACAATCCTAGCTTCAGATCACACGGTTCCCTCTTAATGGCACTCATTTGTTTCTGACTTTGTGCTACCTTTGAGTGTTGGAAAGACTTTTTAAACACTTAACAAAGCACCTTGCCTGTTTTTCCTGAAACAAATGCCCCAGAGCTTACCCGTTCTGTGATTCAGGACACCTCTGATGCCCCACGCTGCTTTATGCTGCTTCTGTGTTATACTCACTTGTTCCTTCCTTTAAGGTACACATGGCAAGGCCTGTTACTTGATTAGTAACTGTTCTCACTATGCAGGTGTTGATTTCTAAAGCCAGAGATGTAGGTAACTGTCTAAGAAATTCCTACTTCCCTCTAACCAGAGGCTTCCCAGCCCCACGGAGCTGAGTGGCGCTTGCAGTCTGCCAGTTTCACTTAAACCCACCACAAAGGTCTGCTAACTAATCGTGGGATTACAATCTCTAGTGAAGATCCAAAAGGGGGTATCTTTCAGCCTCCAAAGCTAAAGACACCAGTATTCATCTGACTGTGCCCTACCATACCACATAAATAAACAGAACGTGTACAGATGCCAGTAGCAATATACATATATATCATCATGGTCATATGATTTTTCTAAAGATAGATCTCCTTCAGCTAGAGGTTATGGACTTCATCCAGGAACACCTGAATCAAGTGTTAGGATGTTTTGCAGACAGTGCATTGGGTACCCACCACAGCCTTTCTGGCCATACGATCATCTGGTGAATCTGGTTGAGGTGGGAGCTTGCAGTTCAGCTGCTTTCATTAGCAAGATGAGGCAAAGCAACGTCAAACCGTAATTTTTATTGAAATAGTCACCATAGGCCACGTTTGCATAATGCTCATACCACACACAAGGTACGGTTGCATCCGTTGCAGGGAGATTATGCAAGCAAACAGCTTTAACCTTTCACCCCCGAGTTTGGATTCAGCAGTATGGTCTGACTGCGAGACCATGCCCCAGCAGCTCTGATGGTCGGTCTAGCCCAGCATTTGGTCTAACAGGGCAGAGAAACTATTTGGGGAGAGCATGCAAGTCTCCTGGTGCCTCCCGCATCCAGTTATGGTGTTACGACCATTAGAGGGGAGCTCCTCACGCAGCCCTTTTCGTACCCATTTATGGGCCCGCTGTCCATGCATTCATCTAACTCCTTTTTGAATCTGCCAGTATTCTCCTCCACTGAAAGCACGTTCTTGTAAAGACGTATGTTTCAGAAGGCTGTTTTCTGACGTGACACGCTGGTAGGAAAAGTGTTTCTTAAGGTACTCGGACATACATATTAAAGTTGGCCTGATGATGACTGGTCAGTCCTTGCAGGAGATGGGTCCATTTTAGCAGGAAATAAAGCCGACTATGAGAGAGTTTTTGTGATCTCTGATCTCCTTTATGTCACCATAAAAACACGGGTAAAAGAGGAAGAGCTCAGGACTGTCACTGTGCCTTAGGACAGAACTGCAGCGTTCGCGAGGAGAATTCTGTTCAACAGCCCCGTTTCAAACTCTAATTTAGACACGATGTGAAAGACCTTCCCTACATCTCCTGGCCCTAAGGCAGGAGTCTCTCCGAATAACCGCTCCCCGCCCCTAACCGGCCTTTTTTTTTTTTTTTCTTTTTTTACCCCACCGCCCACAAAT